ACACTCCATTTGCCACTTAAATCAAACGTTTGTTAATTAAACCTATGATTAATTAATTAAAAAAAACCTATTCTTTAATTATAACTATAAAATAAAGTTAGTTTCTCACATAGACAAATCCATATTTAAAGGTATGGCGCTCATGAATATCTCAAAAATTAAAATATATATATTTTTTTCTTTAAATACATTCAACATTTATATCTCTTGACGCTCATTACATTACTAAAATTTCATCGGCAAAATTAATAAATTTATTTACAAATTTTTGTATATTATAAGTGAACAATTTTTTTAAAAAAATTCTAAAGATGTTACTTGCTTCTCATATATGCATTGCCCAACATTTTATCTTAGATTGTCCCCATTTCTGCTTACTTGACTTTAGTCTCAAAATTATGCTAAATAACGTGCTGCTTTTAGAGAAATTTCCTCTCTAACTTCCTTAATAGCAGAAAGAAAAGAAGTTTTTTTTTTTAACTCAATAATTCCAAGGGTCACACTAATTTATCACCAGTGGTCAAAATATTTAGATTTACTCAAGATACTAGTTGATGTATCAGAATCTATTTTAGATTTAGAATTCCAATATTTGGGTCACTCTAATTTATCCCCAATGGTCAAAATATTTAGATTTACCCAAGATCCTAATTGATGTACCAGAATCTGTTTTAGATTAAGAAATTTTTTTATATTATTAGCATTAGATAAATTCTACTGTTCCATGAAAAGATGGTTAAGGTAAAAAAAAACCTAAATAGCTGGCAAAAGTCAAAGGAAAATCTCCGTTGATGTAATTTTGAGATATAAACCAATCCCTTTTAAAAAAAAAAAAAACTTTATCTTTTTAATGGTAAGAGTATTTTACACTTTATTCAATATTTTTTCAAATTAATTTAAATAAATTAATTTATATTAAATTTAATAAAATCATTAAAAATTATCCCTTCGTATTCTCTTAGCTAATTTAAACAAGGTAATTAAGACAAAAACATACTTCTTTTATTACTTAAATCATACGTCCATTGATCGAATCTATCTTTTAATTGTCCTTTAATTATAGATGCCTTGCCCAACATTTTGTCGTAGGTTGTCCCCATTTCTACTTCCTTGACTTTAGTCTCAAAATATTGTAATTAATGTGCTATTTCCAGGGAAGCTTCCTCTCTAACTTCTTTAGACTGTGGAAAGAAAACCCTTTTTAAACAATAATTCCCATATTTGGTTCGTACTAAAAAAGTAGTATTGCTAATTAGTTTATAATTTTTCATACAAGAGAGTATTACTGTTTAAACTTAAGATCTTTATGAAAATATGCCTTAACCTTTTACCCTTACCCTTTGAGGTATGTCACAATTGTTTTTATTATTTAACTTATTTATTTTATTTTTTTGAAGTCAGTTTATAAAAGAAAAACAAGTACCAAATGTAATATCTTATTTCATTAAAAATAAAAATGAAATATGAATTAAATTTAAATATAGTTGCTTCATTTAATAGTAAAAACAAAAAGTATTTTCGCACTTTATTGTGAAACAGTGGCGGATCAAAAAAAAATAGAAAGTGTTTATTTATAATATATATATATATTTATAAATAAAAATTTTAAATGATACATTTCTATGTTATCACAATTGTTTGCGATAAGCTCTCTTATCTTAAAAAAAATTTATTGCTATTGAAATTGAAGCAGCAAACATTATAAAAATAATATATTACAATAAATTCATAACAAATAATAATCAACAATGTAAAAAATTACATATATCAAGATTTATGTACAAAGCCATCTAATATAAAAGAAAAAAATTATGGACCATCATAAATTTTTTATCAAATTATAGATATATAATATATTTTTTTTAATTTGAACTAGAGTTAAATAATAATTACAAAATTTATTAAAAAAATTTCATTAAATAAATAATTTAATAAAGACATTAAATTTGTACTTTAAAATTTTTAATTTTAATTTTTATCATTTAAAATATAAAATATTAAATCATATATATATATATATATATATCAATAAAATTTTAATTCAATCAAATCACAAACCTGACATACATTCAATCTCTTTATCAAATTCGTAACTCTCCTTCTCTTTTTTTTCTCACTCCGACAAATTTTTTCTCTCTGGCGGCTCCCCCTTTTTCACGTGTTATTAGACGCAGCCCTCACCCCATTAAAAATAGGTCGATCACATATTATTTAAAACAAAAGCTCATAGTCTTTAATTAGTCAAAAAAGAATGGGGTTGGACCCCACATCATAACAATTATTAATATTATTAAATACATCACGTCAATATTACAATATATATAACTAGTTAATTATTCAATTAAAAATAAAAAATTTTATTCTATAAATCACTTTTTATCAATAAATATTCTGTCAATCGAAATAATGTTAAATTTTTTTTTAATTTTTAAAAATTTTCAATTTTAGAGTGTTAATGGACACTCTATCTTAATATAAGGATTTGCCACTGCATTGAAAATATAAAAAATTTGAATGCTGAAAAAGGAAAAACAGAATGACAAAAATGAAATTCGAAATCTGAAGAATCTAATGGGAAGGAAAAATACCTGTGGCCTGTCGGCTGATGGGTAGTAGCTAAAACAAAAACAGTTATCAAAGACCAAAAACAAAGGGTGGGAGACTTTGTCACATGTGCAGCCAAATATCCAGGCAGGATATTTGGAGATTCTTGAGAGTAGATACTATTTTTGATAGTTTTTTAAATTGTTAATAAGATTAAATTATTAAAAGTTTTTAATTTTTTAAGATTGTTAGTGTTACACTATATATAAATTTTTATTAAATTTTTTTAATACTCAATAATTATCAAATTTAAGTTAGCAATTTTGATATTTTGACAATACTATTTTTTTTTTAACTTTTCAAGATTATTGAAAGATTATATTATTAAAAAACTCTTAGTATTTGCTAAGAGCTTTAAAATTTTCAAGATTATCAATGGTATTAAACTATTACATCATATATAAACTTTTATCAAACTTATAATTAAGCAACACCACAAAACATTAAAGAACAACATATCCATTAAACCTTTGATAAAACTTGATTATTTCATTAGCAATTGTAATTAATTTCAACGATAAATCCTTTAATCCGACAAAAAGTAAGTCATGACAACATATATTGAGTCATAGGCGTGCTCCATAACAGTACTTTGTCTTATTATTTATAAATCACATGGGATAATAGATAATAATTTAATAAACATTTATTTTCTATAAATATGACATAAATATCTAATAAGATGCAATCATGTACCAAAAGTTTAGTCACCATTATATTATTAATAGCAATATCAGTATTAAAAATATTTTCTAAAAAATTATAAAAAAACCTTGGAAAATTATAAAAAAGTGGTAAACTAAAATATTTTAAAATTTATGAAAATTTAAGAAATTCAAAACATTCAAAAAATTTCAAAATCTTAATAAAAAAATCCAAAATAAATTAAAAAATCTAAAAATTTCAAAATATTGAAATTTTTAATAAAATTAAAATTTCTTAAAAAATTAAATAAAAAAAGATTCTCAAAAGCTTTAAAATTTTAAAATAAAAAAATCTAAATTTTTGAAAAAATCTAAAAATTTGAAAGAGTTGTAAAAAATTTTTAAAAATTCTGAAAAATTTTCATTTTTTGAATCTTATAATTTTATTTTTTTATATATATATATTTGAAGTTTCGGAAAAAATTTTGAAATTTTGTAGATTTTACTAAAATTTTAAGTTTTTTACTTTTTATTTTGTAGAATTTTTTAAATTTTTTATAATTTTTTAGAATGTTCTAGATTTTTGAAAATTTTTTAGTTTTCAAAATTTTTTTAAAAATTTTCAGAATTTTTTTAAATTTTGGGTTTTTTCAAAAAATTTTATATTTTTTAATTTTTGATAATTTTTTTAAAAATTTTTATTTTTTATTTTTCAGTTTTTAAAAGTTTTGTGATTTTTTTTAATTTTAAGAAAAATTTATTTTTATTAAAATTTTCATTTTTTAATTTTTTTTGGAATTTTATTAAAATTTTTTAGATTTTTTTATTTTTTTTTAAATTTTCATAATTTTTAAAAATATTTTAGGATTTTTTAAAATTTAAAACAAATTTAGATTTTTTTATTTTAATACTAACATGGTAATTGATGACAAAGCGTTGATTAGATTTTTTTGCTAGTATCAATATTTTATTGAATATTTATATTATGTCAATAAATTAACTAATAATATTAGTATGAAATATTAAAGTAGATGACGAAATAAAACTTAAAACACCCAATTAATAATTTTATTTTTTTAAGTTACAAATTGATAAAAAAAAATACAAGATCTTTTTTTATATTTAACCCTTATAAATTTTAAATTCTAAAATGAGAACTGAAGGTGCAGAACTTTTCCATGTGTGGCTATAAAGATGTTGGAATGACATAAAGATGTAGGGGAGTGTGAATGTACTTTGATTGCAGAAATGCATCAGGTGAATATGACTACAGCTGTTAAGCTGTGAGTCCATCATGTACTGCTAATTGGCATTAATAAATTGAATGGCTGAGGAAAAAAAAAGAATATAAACAGTTTAATCAAATTTGTTAATTAAGTTCCATGACAAAATGTCAATACAGCCTATTCTCAGCATCATCATTACTCACTTTTTCTTCCAACTTGACCCACATGTTAATCTTCGTTTCCATGCACCATAATGTCTTCAGTCAACCTAATCAATTCCCACAGCAAGAGACAGATACTAATATTTTAGGTCTTCTCTCAACTAATTGAGTTTCTTTTGTCTTCTTTGCATTTTCCTATCTACTTCCTTTCTTTATATAAGAAGCATTATCAAATTACACCATAGATTTCAGAGATAATATATGAGAATATATACTCTATTTCTCTGGTTGTTTTGAGCATTTCCTAGACAGAAAATTGATTAAAATTTAAGCAGGTTTCTTTCTTTTCTTTGAAGAAGATCGAGAAGATGGTTTTTATTGGCTTCAGATTCAATCCCACCGATGAAGAGCTTATCGAAATCCTGAACCAGAAAGTATCTGGGAAGACTGCCATGGCGCCTTTGGATTTCATTGTTGAAAGAAATATTTATGAATTCGAGCCCCAAGATCTTCAATGTCTGACATTTTTGCTTCTTCTTCTTCTTGTGTCTTCTTTATCATAGATTAATTTCTGTTCTATATATGTTTCCTTAGTTTGCATGTCTGACATCACATTTTGGCATATGAAAGTGTAATATTAATACGTAAAGATATCAATTTGGGTGTCCTTAGCCTCCTAGGATCATGTCTGAGTGTGCAAACGAACAGAATCCCGTGTTTCATGGACCATGCATTGATCAGATCAGACCAACAATCATATAGTTCCCATCCCATGTTTTATCCGTCATCCTAATCCCTACTTACTGACTGTCTGTCTCCCTTGCAATGGCTTCCCAAATCCCAAAATATTCAACTTTCATTTCTAAGTGGCTTTCCTACCAATTAGTTCTATAAGAAAACTTTTTTTTTTTGCTAAATGTACTATACAAAAACTGATCAGGATCAGATGAAAGTTTTCTGATGATTATCAGCACAATTGAGAGCCGATTGGAGTGCTGCTTCCACCGCAATGCAGCAAAGGATCTTGTGATCATATTGGAAGCAATTAGGATTACAGCGATCACTTTATCACCAGTCATACCTAGCTTATGTAGGAGGATATGTGCACAACTTGGCTACACATAGGACCAGTTTTGATAATTTAAACTGGAGTGAAACGAAATGCGGTGAACTAAAGGGGGGTCAGGTAATGGCTCAACCTAAACCAGTCTTCGCAAGAGTCGAACAGATAGAGACAGAAATTGGGGGTGAAGCAGCGAAAAAAGTTGTGTAAAAACAAATAAAAATGCGTCTAGTTCAAGAGGTGGTAGAAGCCTAGAGTTCCAATTTCACAAGAAAGTGCGTTTTATGAGTGAACCCTAGATGAAACCCAAATTGATTACACATCCGAGCATATATTTAGCTAAGCATATTCCAATCTCTCTTTCTCTGAAATATACAAAAAAAAAAAAAAGAAAATTACATCTCAATTCTTAAACTCATATATAGTGAAATTTATAGAGTATATGCTTTGTGCAGGGATTCAAAGTGCGGCCTTTAACAAGAACGAAAAGTATTACTATTGTAGGAGGGAGAGCGATTCAAGAGAAGTACCGGGTCGAGGATGGTGGAAGGCAACAAGTCATGTCAAGACAATTTCTGATAATGGACAGGCGGTGGGTTACAAAAGACCCCTAACATTTCACAAGTTTAGGGATAACCAAACAAAGCGCAAAGTTGCAATCAAAACTGACTGGATTATGCATGAATATGGGCTTCAATCCACTGCAACGGTTAGCTTTAGCTATTCATTCTTTGCTTTTTCTTCATAACGTTTTAAGCAAAACGCATATTTTCATTCGGATACCTTTGCCTGGTTCATGAAATGCACTGAATTTAACAGTGAGCTGTTTGTTCACGAGAGTTGGTTTTTCTATTATGTTGAGTTCAAGCCCTAATTTTAACCCCAAAAGAAAAAAAAATGCAAAATTGTTCTGAATTTGCAAGCTATAGATTTCTTGAGACATCATTTCTTCTTTTTTTTTTTTCTGTAGCCACTATACATTTATTTACATATTGATATATTTTTTACATCTATACTTTTTAACAAAAAAATGTTGCAGTTTGACGATGCGTGAAAAGGTTATAAGTATTGGATTTGAATCTCAAATCTATTGGATGTCATCTATTAAAAATGTACTACATGAATCAACTTAATTAAGTTTCGGATTCTATCACATTTATGTTAATTACTCTTAGCTCTTGTACTCATAAATAGGTTAATTATCTACCAAACCATTTCAAAATTAACAGTACTTGTTTCTGAGCCTAAAGAGCCCGCTGTTTTTATCTTTTCACTGTCAACTCTAACCTCCTACGTTAAAACCTTGATAATATAAGGAGAGGGAGGCCGCCTAGTTCCTGAATGGCTGCATCTATATATATTGCATAAGTGAATAGCTACAAGTGAGATAGTGATGAACAAAATATTTTAAAAATTTTTATGGCTATGTGCAGCTCTTAATGATTTTTCGCAATATAGTTAATTATTAAAACATTGCTAATTTATCTTAGACTTATTGTTCAACATTGTCCTCAATTTAATACAAACTATAGATTGTTGATTAATCAAATGTTAGGAACAATTAATTTTTCCATTTTCCAGTACTTGGATGATGAGTTATATCTCTTTAGTTTTTTTTTTTTCTCTAGTTTTTTTATTAAAGTAAATTAAAAAGATTTGAATATAGTATTACAAATATAGTTAATTACTATGTAAAAGAATTTCATTATTGAAGTTGTTTTATTCGATAGGAATGATAAGGATGGAAAAGTGTATGAATTAATGATTAAGCGACAAGATCTAATAATTTCGTTTTCATTTTTACCAAACAAAACTTTAATTAGCACAGAAATAACAAGAAAAGATATGGTATTGCATACTGTATAATCATATAGTTTTTTTTTTTTTTTTTGTTCTTGTTTATGTAGGAGTGGAGACTCTGTAAGATTATGTACAAAGGAAAAGAAAAGCTTGAAGAAGACATGGAAAACATCATAAACGACAATCCAATGAGTTCAAAAGCTGGAGTTAGCAGTAGTTCCGTAAATCCCATGCAGTTAGAGTACTTTGCTTTTGAGGAGCAGCAGCCATTTCTACCACCATTACCTGAAAACAATTATTATGAAAATTATTTTTGGTCATCCTCATCATTTGATGATCTGCAGCAGCAGCTGGAATTGGCGCAGTCATCCTCTTTATTTGATCCAAGTTCTTCGATGCCAATTCTCACACCAAGCTATGATCACTTTGCCCAACAAGACAACCAGCAACCATTTGCAGACCTGTGGTCCTAGGAGATTGCCATTGTGACCCCTGTGCTCCCGCAAGCATGCTGTTTAACCACAAATAAAATGGTTTAATGTTTCCTTTCCCTTATGTAATGTAGTAAGGCTCCACTTGAGGGCCTCATGAAATGCTTTCACCGCATCCGAGAGTGCATTTTATGATTGTATCCAAAAAAAAAAATTCCACTGAACTCTTAAATGGAACCTAAATTAATATAATTTGAAGAGTCTAGTATTATGCATTTAACTAATTTGGGATCCCATACTATGCATGGTTTCAATTTTTTTCTCATTCTCTAGTTGCATGCATATAACTATCCTACATATATGTGTAATAACACAACTAAAAAACAGCTATTCAAATGCAAATTAAAAAGATTACATGTAATTTATGAACAGATTATTGCATTGCAACAGTTATGATTTTATCAATTAACATATTGTGTACAAATTTTAGAAAGATATTTCCCTTGGGAATTCAAACTTAAAAAATAAAAATAAAAACAAATTAAGGCATAATATGTGACCAGGGGATAATTCTTGGCCATGTTTGTCACTGCAAGAAATTTCATTTTACGCAATAAAATTTGTTTAAAGTAATTTGCATAAATGTTGCAAAAAAATATGTTTTTGCAACATAAATAGTATTATATTGCTATAGACTAGTACAAGTAACATTTTTCAGCAAAAAAAAAAAAAAAACAAAATCGATGTTGTTTTTCATAACATCACTATTTGCAGCACCTTGAAATAATTTGCACAACATGGTTTTTGCAACAAAAAAGTCTTATGCTAGTGTCGTAAATTATTTTTTGCAATAAAAGTGTATACAAAAATTTATTGAAAATATTTTTTAACATAATTAATTATTATTAATTACATCATAGCATAATTTTTTCTTGTAGTTTGCCCCAATGAAGTCAGTTGTATATTCATCTTTGGATTATCACATTGTGTTAGTAGTTTGACTACCTGCATTCTAATTGGACAGAAGTATTGGATATACTTAATGAATATTCTAATTGGAAATACCTTGGTGATTTTCTATTAATATGTGGAGAATGTTTTAGACTTTTAAACGTCTTTGGAATTTTGGGTAGCAACGTAATCTTATGAGAAAAATGTATTTCTTCTTAAAGCGTGTTGAATCCAGCCCAGACTATTATTATTATATTATTGTTCTTAAAGGCCCACAAGCCTTTGGTTTCTGTCAGTCAAGAAATAAAGCTTTACTTTATATATAAGAGGTGCGGGAAAGCTGTCAGTTTGACAAGAGACCAAATGCAAGTTGATTTATAATTTGATTAAGTTAAAATTTTATAAATCTATTTATAATTCACTATTTTACATTTTTAACTGTAGAGATTAGGTTTGGTGTTTTTAAGAATAGATTTAGATTATATTTATTGAGTAATTTATTTTGTTAGATTTTTTAAAATTTTTTTCTAATTATTGCATAATTTTAATTTTAATTAAAAAAAATTATATAACCATTATTTGTCAGTAAATTTATTTTTGTAACTCATAATTTTTTTTTAAAAAAATTTTTTTGTATAAATTTTAATATATTTTATTTTTCTTACGTTATTAATTAATATCGGTTTATGAGTTTATTGTTTTTATATTATGATTTATTACGATATATTATTTTTGTATTGTTGTATTTGTCGCTTTAAACTCAATAAGTAAAATTAGAATTATAGTTATTTTGAGATGTTAGTACTGTAACAATTCAAGATAAAGCTATTACAATAATTAGTAAATTTTATTTGAGATTATGAAAAATGATATAAATTTTATGATAAAATTAATATAAAATTATTCAATTTAAAAACTAATGATGAAAAATTATTTATATTATAAAAATTTATACAAATTGATATTGAATGATTCGATTAAATCAATAAATACAAAAAATAAAAACAGAAAGAAAATAAATGGTAATATGCTGACTATAATTAAAAAATGAATTAATATCAAAGTACTTTATCATATAGCATATAAGACAACTGCTTATATCGTTTAGGAAAAAATTAAAAACATTGTAGAGAGGAATTTGCATTTGAAGAAATGGAATGGAGAAATGTGTGCCAAACAACATATAATATAATTTTCTTTTTCTTAATTTTTACTATTTTAATTTGATTTGTGTTGGATCCCATCAGATCGGGCTTGATTGGAAACCAGTGATTATGGTTTGCTGATGTAGTTTGTCTTTTCTTGAAGTTTCTAAAGTCTTCTGATTTCGCAAGATTTTTTTTTTTTATTTACGGTGAAAAAGAAAGCCTTACAATCCATCAATTACCATAAAAATAATATAATGTAATGTAATGTAATATAATATAATATAATATAATATAATATTTATATTTAGATTTAAAGAAACATATTCTACGCTAAATTTAAAAATATTCACGAATTAAACTGAATACACTTGATATCTAAAAAATATAAATATAAAAAAAGCTTTTATCCATTTATTTATTTTATATTTATTATTAAAATATTAAAAAATTTATATTAATATATTAATTTTAATACAATCTATAATTAAATTTAAATGAACTATACTTAAGACAACAATGCCAACACTTGTTATGTTGAAACCTTAATTGATCATGTGATAGACAGTGTACTCTTAATTATAATTTTACTCAAACTTGATTATATTATACATGGTAAGACAATTATTATATATATTATTACTAAAGTTTTTAAATAAATAAATCAGTAAAATAATTATATATTTGGTCTATAATTAAAAAATGCGAGACTTGAATTTTACTGTATATCTTATTATTTATTCTATTAATTTGTTAATTTTTTTAATATATTTTAATAAAATATATGGTAACTTTTTTTTTTAATATTATTACATTAAATAAAATTTTTTAAATTAATAAATGAGAATTCCAACAGGTGTTGGGTCCTGTTGGTATGAAAGAACCAAACAAACAACGTCGCATCAAAGAAACAATTAATAAATTAATTAATAATAATCTACGGTTACTTAGCGAACGCTTCGTTTGCTTTCTTGGACTTGTCTTAAAAGGAAACAATTTAAAAAAATGACATTTATTATAATGCAAAGAGCGTTATAAAAAATAATTCACATTTTACAAAAATATATAATTAAATACTATATTATTTTTATTATAATGTAATAATTGAATTTTTTAAAACAAAAAATTAAAATTAAAAACAAAAATTTAATCAAATACTATGTTAATTTTTTTATAACATAATTTGCAATAAGTTATAAAAAACAATTAACAAATAAAAATAAATACAATCAAATTTCTGAAAAAAAAAATCAAAACAATTATTGTGTTTGCTTTTAACAAACACAATATTTGACGTTTGCAACAAAACAAATAATTGATCATATTTTGATTTTCAAAAGGATAAAAAGGATATAAAACCTTTTTATATTCAGATCAAATGTGAGATAAAAATAATTTTTTTTATAAAATTTTAAAAATTCATAAAAAAATATGTAGACATCCAATTGAGTTCAGGTCCAGATCAATTGGGTTTGACCCAAATAGGTAAGGCCCAATTCAATCTTGTATTTTTTTTTGTATTTTATGTATTTTTATATTTATTATTATTATTATGTATTAATATATGTATATCTGTATTTATTTATTTAGAATAGATTTATATGTATATTATTTATATAGTTATATATTTATTATTATATTATTATTTTTTTATATTTTATTTATTTTTATATTTTTATTTATCTAATTATATATCTGTTATTTTTTTTATTTATCCTATAATATATCTATTTTTTTTATTTATCTGTTCTAATTATCTATTATTTTTTTTATTTTTATTTGATTTTTATTTTGGAAGGTTGAGATTGGAGCTGAAGAATCCCACTGTGGAGGGGAATTCAATCAAAGAGTCCAATTGGATTCAAAGATTGAATCCCCGTCCAAGGAGAAATTAGGATTGATCAGGAACTCCTGATCAACCCCTATAAAAGGCACCTCCTGGAACAGATGAAGAACATGGAAAAAACAGTAAGCAAAGCTACTGATTTGAGAGAAAATGAGGCGTATAGGAAGCTAAGAAAAGTTTAGGAGTGTTCCGGAAGTGAGAAAAAATTTTTAGAAATTTTTGGCGAAAAAATTTTCTAGAAATTTCTGGGAAATTTCCAGATTCCGGTGACTTTTCCGGCGATGGTTGAATTTTTCGGCCAAAATTCCGGCCAAATTTGAAGTTTTTGGCGACCTGCCCAATTTTCGACAAAAAATCCCAGAAACCGGTGATCTTTCGACAACTTTCAGCGAACTTTCGATGAAATTTTCCAGATTTCGGTGACAATTTCTAAAATCCGATGAAATCCCCACCGGAGTTCTTCAGCCCTTAGAGAGAAGAGAGAAAAAAAGGGAAGAAGAGAGAGAGAGAGGAGGGGTGTTCTGTCGAAAAACGAAGGGGACTGCATTTTATACCTTCCAAAAACGACGTCGTTTTGGCTTTAAATTAATCAGAGGATCCGTGCGTTTTGTCGAAAACTCGACCCGACCCGAGTGTCGACCCGCTTCTTGACCCGCGCGTGCTAGCCCCCCTGCGAGCCGAGTCGAGCCGAGCCAAGCTGCCAAGCCGCTCCCCCCGAGCCATTTCCCTGCCTTGAGCCGAGCCGAGCCGATAGCCGAGCCGCTCCAGGTTTTTTTTTTAATTAATTAATTAATTTATTAGATTAGGTTTATTTAATATTCTTTTTATCTTTATTTTATTTTTATTTTTGTTTTACTTTTCTTTATTTATTTTTATTTATTTTTTTATTATTCTATTTTCTTTAAATAAAAATCAAAAATTCCAAAAAAAATATTTTTAGGGAAAAGTTGAAAGTATCAATTTTTCTTAAGAATAAATTTCAAAAAAGGTTTTTGAGGAAAAGTTGAAAGTATCAATTTTCTTTAAAGATCAAAATTTCCAAAAAAATATTTTTAGGAAAAAGTTGAAAGTATCAATTTTTCTTAAAAAAAAATAAATTT